TCTCAGGGTTCTGTCTGTGTGGATGGCCCTGTCCTAGGGGAGAATGGTAGTTCTCCCAGGAAAAGGGGTTCTCCTCTCCTGATCAGTTGGCAAGTAGTCCACACAGGGAGCTATTGTCAGAGTCAGAATAATAATAATACTGGCTATAGCAGTAGTGGTAACATTTATTGAGAGCTTGCTGGGTTCCAGGCAATGTTCTATGCACTTTTTCTGTATTAGCTCGTTTAATACTCACAACCATTTTATGCAATAGAAGCTACTTTCATACATGTTTTACATCTGAGGCAATTTCACAGAGAGGTGCAATCCTTTGTCCAAGGTCACACAGCCAGAATGCAGCAGAACCTGTGGTCCCACATCTGCAGGCCTCACTCCAGAGTAGGTGCTTGTGGGCCCAGGAGCACCCTCCGCTGATCTCCGTGGAGCTGCACCAGGTCCAGGCTGGGGCTGTCACGAGGTCCTCTGGCCCTCCTGTGCACCTGTGAGCCCCAGGGAAGAGGTACACCTCAGCGCAGATAGCTTATCGAAGGTTTGCCATTATCCCCAGATCGGAGAGCAGAGCCGCAGGGCACAGAGATCTGAGTGGGTGAGTTTAGAGCAGTGGTGGTCACCCTGGCTGCCCACTGGAGTGCTTACCAGAGCTTTAAGAAACCTCAGGGCTCAAACTGCACCCCAGACCAATTAACCAGAATCTCTGGGCTGGGGCCCAGGCATTAGTAGTCTTTAAGGGGAATTCAAAGTCCAGCCAAGGTGGGGAACCACTAGTTCAGTGGTCTTGTGGCTTGGTGAAAATAGCCAGGGGCTGAAATTCACCCTGGTTTGAGACTTCACTCCATCACTGCAAGCTATATGACTTTGTACCAGTCACTTCTCTAAGCCTTAATTTCCTCGCCTGTGGAAAATGCCTAAGTTCCTCTGCCTTGCACAGAGGTCGCGAGTGCCGGATGAGACGATGTCTGTGAGGTCCCTAGCAGAGCTGGCACTCTGCTCTCTCCTTACTGGGATCACCCAGGAGGGCAGAGCTGTGCCAAGGACTCACCGTCATTGGGACAAGGCTGTGGAACAGACTTTTGGGACTGCTGGGGCCCTGGGACCCCAGGCCCTCCCACGTTGGGTTTCTGCCTTCATCAGGGGGCTTGAGACTTCTGAATGGGTAGAGGTTGGTGGGGACTGGGTAGGGTGGGAGATGGCGCTGAGTGGGAACTGGAAGTGTGAGTGCACTGACCTAGCTTTACCAGCAGGTGGCGACAGGAACCCACCTTCTGGAGGAGGGCAGCGGCCGGGCGGGAGAGGACTAGGAAGAGCACAAAGGTATTAGAGGACTTTTTTTGAGTACCAAGTATGTGCTAAAGCCTTCTCTTCTTTCATTTCCATTTACTGTGTGCAGTAGTCCTTTGGTAGGTGCCATTACCCTCCTTTGTGGGGTGAAGAAAGTGAGGTGGTTCTGGTACCTGGCAACCAGGTGGAACTGAACCTACTCAGTCTGACTGGATTAGTCTCTTAGCCACTGAGGTGATAGAAGATCAGAGCTTCAAGGGCCTTTGGACCCAGGGCCCTGAGGAGGTCGTGTGATTCCTAAACTTGTCTGATGATAAAAATCACCTGAAGCTCTTTTAAAAAACTTCCAAGGTCCTGGGTCCCACGCTGGACCCAGAATTAGAATCTACCAGGTAAAGAGGCCTGGGAATATGTGTGGTTAACAGGAGTCTGTGTTTGGAAACAAGGCTCTTCTCTCAGGGAAAGTGACCTGCCCAAGGTCACACAGCCAATGCCCTCCAAGCTCCTAATACCCTCAAATCCAGAAGCCTGGCCTGCAAAAAAGATGAGACAATATACCATATGATCCAGCAATTCCACCTCTGGGTATATACCCCAAAATAATTGAAAGCAGGGTCTTAAAGACATATTTGAACACCCATGTTCATAGCAGCATTATTCATAATAGCCAAAAGGAGGAAGCAACCCAAGTGTCCATCAACATATGAATGGGCAGGCAGGCAAGCAAATGTGGTCTGTACATACAGAATATTATTCAGTCCTAAAAAGGATGGGAATTTTGACATATGTAACAACACGAGTGAACTTTGAGGACATTATGCTATGTGACATAACCCATCACAAAAAGACAAACACTATGTGTGTGATTCCACTGATGTGAGGGACCTAGAGTAGTCAAATTCACAGAGGCATAAAGTAGAACTGTGGTTGCCAGGGGCTGTGGGAAGTGGAATGGGCAGTTAGGGTTTAATGGGCACAGAGTTCAAGCTCAGGAAGATGAAAAGAGGTCTAGAGGTGGCTGGTGGTGATGGTTGCCCAATAATATGAATGTGCTTATTAGTATCATTGAAGTGTACACAGGTGACTGATGAGGAGATGGAAGGTAAGTGTGATTTTCTTCATCTTTTGAATGCTTTGTGAGTATTATGTGGAATTTGAGGAGTATTGCCAAATTACCTCTGTCCTAAAAGAGGGTTGTATTACAAATGGATGAACATACTTTTTTCCCAATAACTTCACTAACTTTGGGTTTCATTATTTATTTTTTCTACTTAATGGGTAAGAGATAGTACTTCATTATTGTTGAAGTTTGCATTCAATTCATTAGATCTGAAGTGGATTTTACCGAGGTCATTAATGGCCTCAGAATGATTTTACCTGCCATGTTAATTCCCAATTTATAGATCAATATAAAACACTTAATTTTGTTGTTAAAGCAAATCAATAAAACCACTAGGTCTGTTACCGAGAAGAGAAAGTGGCTCCTGCTTAAGTTTCTGCCTTGAATATTCCTGCTTCTTTGGGAAGTCCAGGTTCTCAAATGGAGGTGAAGGGATGGAGTTGGGGGCCACATATTTAAAAAATCTTGATGATTATGCTGTGCTACCCGCTGTTCCTCCCGGTGGCTGTTCTTATGTGACCCCTAGGTCGCTGTCCTCTTGCTAGAACAAAAATGGTCAGTGAGAGTTTGGGCACAGATGTCCCCTTTCCCCACAGCCCTCCAAAAAGAGCCCTCTAATTGCCAGCTCAATTTCTCCTCCATCTCTCTTTCCTTCCTAGAAAAAAACAGATTCTTCTGTGTGGGAAAAGCGGTAATGGCTAAGTCACACTGGGCGTGGAGGAGGAGCATCATTTATTTTTGGTGGGAGAAGGAATTTGAAATGACCAGCGTAGAACATCTTTAGGTCAAGAGAGAGAGGAGAAGAAAGGGGATTTTAATCAGCGTGGCTGTGAACTGTGAATCCGAATCCCTCTAAAATCCTTTGAGAGGTGCGACTAAAGGATGAAATTGCTTGTTAATTACTTTATGCCACTGGGCTGTGTTTCTTGGGTCATATACCTTTCTGAGACTGATCCATGCAGACTGTGTTTTATTAGGGTTCTGCCCTTGTCAGGGACGACATGGGCACAACGCTGTTGAGCCTCCGACACCCTGACAGCCCTGCCACCTGATGTCAAGGCCACACTCAGGACCCCGTCACCACCCACATCTAATCCGCCTCTGAAATTGTAATTCAGGTGCCCCCTTTCTGACGGCAGTCTTCCCCTGTCGCCTTCCCCCACCATGCCTCCCCTTTGAGCCCACTGGGACTTCCAGCCCACTGACTCCAGTTCTGCCAGAGCATCTTTTCCCTTTCCTCTTGGTGATGGCACCCACTTTCTCCTTGGAGGAAAACTCATTTCTTCTCCCATATGGATAGTATGGTTCAAATGAGGTGAACTCTCCCCTCCGCACCTCCAAAGGCAGGCACATCAGGGCAGTCCTTTTTCAGACCATTGGCCAGAGCGATTGGTCAGGGATGGGCATGTGGTCCCAGGGCAGGGGGCGCCAAGCCCAGGACTGCTGCTGGGATGCCGGAGGACGGTTTCTTCCTGCTCATGTGACTCGGCTGGCAGCAGAAAGCCTAGTCTTGCTGGGGGCCTTCCTGGGGTCGGGAGCCTGTAGGGTAATGAGAAAAGATTACTAGGAATCTCCTAATAATCTTGTTGGAGTATCTGGAACTAGCCATTTCTGAAACAACCCTGGGTTTTTCAGATACGTGAATCAATATCTGAGATTGATAAAATGCAAGCCAGGGTTACATTTTATGACCTGAAATAGACCTGACTGTTCCAGTGTCACTCCAGCTAGGCTCTAGGTCAGGGGTCTCTAAATGTGGTTGCTCATCAAAATCACCTGGGAAGATTTTTTTCCCTAAAATCTTTATGTGAAGGATAACATAGATACAGAAAAATGCATAAAACATAAATGTGCAAGTTAATGCGTTATTGTAAAGCCAACTCCTGCATAGCCTTGATGCCAGGGTTCTTGTTCACAGAGCCGAAGAATGAACTTCACGAACAGTCAAGGTAGGAGAGCAAGGCAGAGGCTTTTATTTAGAGAGAAAGCGAGAGGACAGAGCTGCCGTTGTCTAGGGGTTTTATAGGCGGTTGAGAGACTGAGTGCTAGGGATGTACACCTGCTAAGTGGTCCCAAATACCTTTGAAGAAACACTAAGTTTCTTATTAGTCTTCCTGCTTATTTAGAAGAATTTTACTGCTCTGATTTCCTTCCAGGATAGCAGCTTCCTGGTCTGGGAGCATATCACTCAAGACTGCCTGCTTTGCTCCCAAGGTGGGCTGAGTTATTGTCTTACTTTTTAACTAATTGAGTTTCAAGATGGAATCCTTCCTGTTCTTTACTATGTTGTTTTGGGCTTGCATGCTACATTGCCCAAGTTGCAACAAATCATTTGTTTAGAGCTAGAGGAAGAAAAGCTAAGGGCTGTGGGGTTTTCAGGGCCTGAGTGATGCCCATTCCAGTGGGTAGTGGGACTGAGGTGGACTTAGTCCAGTTTTCTCCCCTCTTTCCCTCTGCTTCTCGTGCCCTCCTCTGCCAACATCTCCTGCACCTCTCTGTGGTTCTACAACCTTCCATTGATGCAGCAGCTAAGCCTTCTCTCTCCAGTCAAACTTCAATCTTGCTGGGCACTCCCAGTCATAGTGGAGGCCTGTTTCTGCAGGAGCACTACTGCCTGGCCCTTGGGCAGGAGGAGGTGGCTGACTTGCCACTCTTCTGTGTCCGGCAGAGGCAGGAGGCCCTGGGACATGAGGGGACTTGCTTGGTACCTCCCAAGCTCAAAGAATGTGCCTGTGAGAAGGTATGTGGTCTCCCACCCCATATTCCCCTTCCTCTGCTCTTTGCCCTCTCAACTCCTATGGAAGGGACTAGCTTCTGGGACTCCAGAGGAAAAGAGGGAGTTGGGGATTGACCATTAAGCAAACTTTAGGAAAAAGGAAAACGAAGTTTAGGAACTCTTGGTGGGGCCTGCAGTGGATGTGGGCTTGACAGGGGTGTGGAGAGAACCGTTAGGTTCGGGTTGGGATGGAAAAGCCAGAAGGGAAGCTAGGAGGGTGGTGCCACCTCTGACTGGCCCAGCATCCCTGCCCAGCAGTGCAGGGAGCTGCTGAGGCCAGGGGAGTACGGAGTGTTTGCAGCGCATGCAGGAGAGCGGTGCTGCTGGCACCAGGCCTGTTCTGCCAGGCCTGTGGCCAGGCCCTGATAAACTTCATCTATTTCTACCGTGATGGGCATCTCTACTGCAGCCGTCATCACGCACAGCTGCTGTGACCTCGTTGCCCAGCTTGTGACCAGATACAGCCCGGATAGGAGGGTCTGGAGGAGAGGTCTACTCAGGGTCCAATGTGGCTGGATATAAGGGGATACCTCACCTAATACTGTGGAGTCTGGAAAGCCAGGAATCAGCCTGGTACCATTGTGTTCCCTGTGCTCTGACTTGAGCTCTGGGCATGTGGGACCCATGCCTTTGTACCCTCCCCCATTGGAAGCCAAGTCCCCCAAATTTTCTTGGGCTGGGAGAATTTCTCCGGAGCAGGAACTCTTGGACAGACGGTTATCTCAGTATGCCAGGTGCCCAGTGCCGTGCCTGATCATGCAAAGAACTCCCTTAATGCCAGCCTAAGAGGCAGCGTGGAACCCTGGGTTGGGAGTCCAGGAGACCTGGGTCACACTTATTCAGGCTGTGCCACCTGCTAGGCTGGGGGCTCCTAGCCAGGCCAATCAGCCCTCCCTGCGTCGGAGAGTGGTTGAATAGATCAAATGAGAATGTGGAAGTGCTTTAGCGTTAACTGGGTTTAAGGCGCGGTTACTGGATGAATGAATGAGTGAGTAAATGAATGAATGAATAAGCCATTCTTCCTCCCTCTCCTAGCTGATCTTCTCCCCAAGGCGCACCGAGGCGGAGGGGCTGCGCTGGCACGACTGCTGCCCCAGCTGCTTTAAGAGTCGCTATTCTGATGTCAGCTCGAGCCCGCCCCGACACTGGAGGGTACGGCTTCCCTTGGTAAGGGAGAAGGTGCAGATCAAACGGGAAGGGGGCGGCGGCTAGGGCTGGGCTGAAAAGAGGGTATTCTCCCGGGCTGGGACCCCCGCCCCGGTCGCACGCCGTCCCGTCCCTCCGGCAACAACCCCATCTCCCCCCACGCATCCCCCAGACCCGAGCCTCGGAGCCCGCAGCTCTCACCGCGCGTCCCTGGCCGGAGCGTTCCAAGGGCTTCCCGAACCCACCCCGGGCCCTGGTTGGGGGCTGCAGCTCGGGACTTGCTTCTGGACTGGGGACGCGGCCGCCCTCTGGTGGGCGGAGGCGGGGAGGGGTGGGGAAACCCGGGAGAGGGCTAGCGGCGGCGGCGGCGGCGGCGGCGGGGCGGGAGGCAGAGCCCTAACTGGGACTGGCTTTAGGGGGTCGCCCCGCCCGGATCTGGCAGAGACAGCTCTGAGATGGGCGTTTCTAACTCGGCCCCCAACAGGGGAGGAGAGGCTCGACAGAAGTGAGGGAGGGAACTGCGCCAAGCTGAACACCGAGACTTTCTCCCAAGCAGCCCTTCTCGCCGGTGCGGCCAGCTCGGGTCTGCAAACCCAGGGGGCGCTGCGTGGATTGAGGCCACAACAGCAGTGTTAAAGCTGGGGGCAAGGCGGCGGCGCCCAGAAAATGGGAACAGGACTGTCTGGAGACGCCGCTTGATCTCAAGGAGGACGCCTCCTGCTCCACGTGTTCCTTTTCCTCTGACTCGGAACCCGAAGGCTTTTTCTTAGGCCAGCGCTTTCCTGGGCCCTGGCCGACCCCCGGAAGCCTCCAAGCTGGGGACAGCGACACCTCCAGGAAGCACTGTACCATTTGCTAGTGGCGCAGTCCAGAGATGGGGACGGTGTGTGGGGGGTGATCCGTAAGGCGGTAGAGCGAGGCACTGCTTACCCCATAAAAATCCTACACTGAACGCAGTCAGGGACACCACTGGGAGAGGCGTCGAGATGAGTGCTTTCTCTTAAGCTGGCACATTCTATGGCTTTTTACCGGTACTTTCTTGGTGAACCCCATTCCCCAAAACTACGCACCCCCTGATAAACAGGCTCCTCCCCCAACTTCACAGCCCCATCCCCAGCATCCTCCTTCTGAGCCAATGATGAGGTCACTCGGAGCCCACGTGTGACGGTGACCAGCTTGGCTAGCCGAAGGCTTGGAGGGAGCTGGAGGTGGAACCCCACCAGGTGCCTTAAGAGAGGGGCGGCCGCCCCCGCCCAGGCAGAGTTCGGGGCGCGAATTCTCCCTCTTCCGGGCATCACACCCCATGTCAGCCACGGCTCCCTCTGTCAGCCAGCAGCCGACGGAAGTGCGAAGCCGGAAGTTGCGTAATCCGCCTGCGCCGATAGGGTGGGTTGTGAGCGGCCTTGAGGAACCAGGAGGTGTTGTCATGGCTTCTGGTGGGATCGGTATGAACGCTGCCGGCTCGGCAAATGAAGCTTCTGAAATTCCGGACAACGTAGGAGATTGGCTTCGAGGGGTCTATCGATTCGCCACTGATAGGAATGATTTCCGGAGGTAACCCAGGCCCAGGAGCTAGGTCCCTCTCTTGCCCCCCACGCTCGTTTATATATATATATAAAGGTAAATATATAATACCTTAAGTATTAACCTTTCTGGCTGAGGTTGGCGCCCCTGAGTTTTTTACACTCTCAACATGTGGCTTCTTAGCGGCTCTGGTTGTTTTCCTCAGCTTCTTGACTTGCAAAGTTTAGTGCGGCAAAACCAGTCTTTTCAGTCACCAGGTTATGACTAGAGAATTTCACCCTGACCCAGGGGGACCCGGGAAGAAGCGGCGCCAACGCATAAACAGGCTTTTCGGCCCTGGACGAATGCTTAATTGGCCTTTGCTTAATCTGATCCTGCTCTTAACTAGGCACAGAAACATGGGTCCTGGGCAATCTACCGTGTAATGATCAGCGCTCCTGCACTTCTAGAACAGTGTGTTTTTTGTGGAGGTGGTTTTCCCCCCACTAGCTTTAATTAAGACAAGTGACACAGTGATCAGATGGTTAATATAATACATTCTTTTTCTAGGAACTTGATCCTTAATTTGGGACTATTTGCTGCTGGAGTTTGGCTGGCCAGGAATTTGAGTGACATTGATCTAATGGCACCACAGCCAGGGGTGTAGCCAAAAAGGTAAGCACGTAACCACTGTTCTGCATCTAGGTGCTGGGAAAAGCAGTAAATTTTATCGACTATTCACAATATACAGTGAAGAGTCTTGACATAAACCCCTTGCCTATTCATAAACGTGTTGAGTTGTTGCAAGAGATTTGAGTCTCACAAATTTCCCTCCCAGTGAGTTTACATTCTAACACTGCCTGTTGTCCTGTCATCTGATTGCAGACACATGGAACCTGCCCTGTACTCGAACCTTCCAAAAACAGCCTCCAATTTGTGACCATCACAAGATTTACCCTGATGGCAGCTGAAGTTTGATTCACAGGACACCTTCCCTTCCCTGCCTGATTTCCTTTTCTTCCCGAGTCCACTCAGAGCTCCCTTCTCTGGTCAGCAGTCAGGCTGAAGCTAAAGGGTTGTCTTATATTCCATGAAGTTCTGTACATAGTTCCTAAGTTTCTGTAGGGGGTCATCTTTGCTCCTGCCCTGAGGAATAACCCAGTGATATTTTCACAGATACTTGAAATAAAAACAGCACACAGACAGCTATTTTATTTTTTTAATAAGAAACTTCTTACAAAAACAAGGTGTAAAAAGTCAAGATTTACAAAAATGATAGAAACATGATTTGTATTTCACTCAGAGATAGGAACAAGCCCCAAATATGGATTGCAACAGAGGTGGTTTGTTTAATATTAAAAGAAAAAAAGAAATGGAAAGTGTAGCCACTGTACGTCGATGTTAACATAGGATGAAGCTTATTCTTGAGGAACTTCCATTTTTGAGTTGCTGTTGCATAGCATTTTAGTGTGCCAGGTGGGTTTTCCAAGCACTGGGGTGGGGGGCTTTGTCGTCGTGATAGAGTGGGTTTTGTTGGCAGAAAGTGGGCAGTGATGTGCAGGGGGAGACAAGATGTGAGTGAGCCTGGGCAGTGGGCACTAAAGTGACAGTAAAGTGCTTGAGGAAGCTGCTTCCTTCACAAGGAAATAGATGTTTTCTGACTGTAAAATTTATGCTGGGGCCACTGCCCAGGAGTTTGGGGTCCTTTGGAAATGGAATATGTAAGGAACTGGCATAGAGTCAGAGGCTTAGAAAGATGTAGAGATAGACAGTTTCCCCTTGACAATTTTTTTTTCTACTTTATTCAACTCTAGAAGGCTTTTTAAAAAGTAATGTTTTTCTGTCCTGTCTCCTATGGAACAGGCATGAGATTAAAGGACATGAATTAGAAAGGATCAGTGGCCTAATTGTTAGAGGTGACAGATGTTGTCTGTAGCAATCTCTTCACTAAAGTAAGACAAAATAGTCCTTGACCCTGCCAGCATAAATCCCTGTTAAGAAAGCTGTTGGGGAACTAGATTACTTAATTTTTTTAAAGCACTATTCCCTTGTTAGTATTAATCAGGTAGGCCCCATCTGTTCAGAGGAAGCTTGTACGAATTCAGGCCTGTAGGGGACTTAACATGAAACCAGGAACCTTTAAGAGTCTACACTAGGACCATAGATGATCTGATAGGTTTATATCATACTGAGCATTAAGACGAGAAAGGGTCAGAAACGAGAGCAAGGCTCAGGTTTCGTTTAAAGCATTACCCCCTGAAATAGTGATGAGGAAGGAAACTTTTAACCCATAGCATAGATTCTAAGCCCCTTCAGAACTGCATCAGATACTGCTAAGACAAGATATACCAGCACCTCCTGTTTGTCTTAGGAATGAAACTTACATCCTTGAAGTCCGCTACCCAATCTACTCAAAATTGTGAACAGTTCTATTTGATAGAATTTCTTAAAGATGAAAATCAAAATCTGGAAAAAATCAAGGCATGGCAGTTTTCAAAAGCATAATTCAAATTTCATGCAAAATGCAATGTTTAACCTTCAAGTGATAGTGTTTACTGTTGTTTGGTTTATAAAACCATAATGCTGATAAGGTAAAGTTTTATTTTAACCTGGCTTAATTCCTCAAAAGTGGTAAGAATTTAGCAAATGGAGCTACCAAATCTACAATTTCCAAAAATTTTGATGAATAATCATTGTTTCTGTAAATGAACACACTTTCATTCCAACACAAAACATTCTCTCCCCAGGGGAAGTTAGTTTTATATCCCATCACATTGTTTCTAGTCCTGGTTAGTTAACACAGTATTATGAAGATTTCTTACACTATCTATTTAGATTTTAATTGGAAACATGCCAACAGAAGTATGGAAAGAATCCACAAAAATGACCATTTGCCTCAGTGCTGTAGTGGTTGTGGTGTATTTAAAGCAATGTGTGGATTGAATTGAGTATACAGAGGTTAAAGTCAAAGCTCTAGACTAAGAGAATGGTTAGTTTAATCGTGGAAGATTAAAAACTCACATTCGTATTTAGAAGGCGCTTTTGAGCTTTAGTGTTGACCTAAAAAAGAATCTGAGCCACCAGGGAGATGCATACTTACCTGGTGAAAAAGTAAATGGCCACGGGGTTTTACTCCAAAGATAAAACCTCCTCGCCAAATTAGGCCAGGAATTAGGCGGAGGGACCTAATTATCAAATGTGCTTTGAGTGGTGAGCTTTTTAAACACCCTTTGGTGAAGTCTCATGAGCCCAGTGAAAATCTTAAGGTCTGAGTAAGAGGAACATGCTGTAAACAGCCTTGCAGGTAAGCTGACTGGGTCTTAACCCCTTCCACAGCCTCTTCACCCCATCCCAGTCAGCATAGACAAGGGTCTGGGGGGCTGGGGCAGGTTCTTTGAGCCTTCTCTTTTTGATATTACACGGTGCACTGGCTTTCCAGTGTGAATCTAAAGATTCACATATACGGGATTGCGTTCTGCACTCTTTCCTGAAATTTTGTGCAAAAGAACTTCAGAACTAAAGCAAGTATGACTTCAGGAGGAACCATTTTTGTTTGCGTTCTACCCAGCATTAAAAAAACTAAAAGACCTTTTCTGAACATTTGTGCTCTCCCAACCAGCTGGAAAAGCAACCCTTCCTCTCATAAGATCTACCCCCAGATAGGGATATAGTATATGTTTAGGAAGCAGTAGCCCCCTCAGCCTGATTTGAAAAGGCCCAGGTTAACATCTGGAACATAAAGGGGTGGTGAAAGAGAATGGGGTACATAGTCTGCCTTGAAAAGCAGCCCTTTGTTGAATAATCACAAATACAAAGATTGGGACATTACAGTAAAATTTCAGAATTTGCTGGTAAGAATAATTTGCTTTCACATACGAGACATGAGATGCTTTAAAAAAGTGACACCAAATGTCCTTTACACTATACAGACCCATTTGCCCCTTGAAATGACAAGAAGGAATCCTTTCCCTTAATCTTTTCAATTCCATGCAAACCATAATTGAGTACAAGGCACCAAATTTTATGAATTGTATAAAATTAGTTAACAAAGCTTTGTAAGTAAAACTCCATTTCTCCCTCCCTGCCTGCCCACCCACATCCCACCCTCCGCACCCAACCAAGTTTTCATTCTGCACTACTGTTGACTTCTCTCAGGCTTATGCTGGGCTTTGGCTAGGGCCATGGCCCACTGCCAGCAACCACCCCACTAGTTCTTACATTTGGCTGGCACTGTAAGCATAGCCAGAGTAGGGAACTCATACAATCATTGACTCTAGAAGCCTTGCCATTAAAAGCAAAAATAAACTCTGCTATTGAGTCCATAGGACACATTAACACTTCTACAGTTTTCCAATTTTATTCATGACATTTTAAGAGACATCTGGAAATTCTTTACAGTGTGGCACTGCCCCCCTCAGCCTGACAGGCTGGATCAAAGCTGACAAGAGCTCTACCCACCATTTAATAAAAGCTTCAGTTCTTGGCTGTGAGGCATTCTTAAATTGTTTTGATACTAGCATGGATGCTTATCTGAGAGGCAACCGAACCACAAGTATGAGGGTCAAGGTAGACTGAGGTAAAATCCTTTCTGAGGGCTGGGGTGTATTCATCGTGGCTGGCTACAGCAGAAGGTAAACACACCAGCCAACTACAAAGGGTTCCTGCAACGGGACCCTGTAACTACTTGTCTGGGAGAGAAGCAGGCCCATAAAGTTGTTAGGATATCTTGGGTTTGATTTGGCAGCATCCAGTCAACTTCAACCGGGTTCTTATTTTCCTCCCTTGAGAATCTTTCAATTTAAAGTAAGAGGCAACTAAGAAATTCACCTACTTCCAATATGTAAATAAATTAAAGGCAAAGGGACATTTCCCTCGCAATATCCATTGGCTTATGCGGCAGGGACTCTTTCCTTTTTTAATAAAATTCTTCAGAAATACTAACTTCACAACAGCGTCTAGTGCTGCTGCCCCTGGGTACCTGAAGTGTCTAACCACAGGGGCATCTTTCAGAGTGTGCAGCTCAGCGAGGACTCTGATAGTGGTTTCATTCCAATCCATTTTTTTAAATTTTATTAATTTGATACAGGGGTGCTCAGATAAGTACTTACTTTACAAAGTCCTTAGACTGCTTAATAATCCTTATACGATTTGGTATAAAACTATTTCTTAAAATTAAATTTGAAGATCTTTTAATTTTCCATTATATGCTTATTTTTCTTAAGAATTTCCCCCTGAACAGCCTGAGGGATGAAGTAGATGCTCTTTTAGTTCTCCATTTGTAAATTATCTTTTTTTAGAATTATAAATATAGCATTCAATGAAAGATGAGGCATTTTCATTCCCTTTTTACTCTCCTTGGTTTTTTCGAGGTAATGGGCTTTTCTATTGAGACAAAAAGTCATTATCAATCATGTCAGCTTAAAAATGTTAATCTAGCAAGTATAGACAGTATCAGAGCCTCTGGCAACACGGGCAGCTGTGACACTTCAAAACAGTGTCCAGGAGAGGGTGGGCCCAGGTCAAGCTTGTACAAAGAAGCCTGCAGTAGACAATATAAACCAAACAGCATAAAAAATGCCATACGCTATCGCTTCCAAATAAAAGCTAAATATTACAGAAACCTCACAGTGTTGGAAAAAGCAAGTTTTATTCAAAATATAGTCACTCACCCTTCCTTACCAGGGTGAGCCATTTTCTTTCTGAATTTCCCATGTCTCAGTGCTGTCTGGCAGGTCCTATGGGAGAGTTCATCTTAAAAGAGGTCAACAGCAAATGCTACAAACAGATCTGTTTGGGAAATGTGGCTCATCAAATCACTAAAGCTGTGACCCTCTTTTCCCAACTTCCTACCCATCCTCAAACTCCTTTCCACATCTACTCCCTTCAAGTGGTAACTGTACTTCTACCTGAATTGATATGTTAATAATGATATACTCAGTCAAAAGATGAGCATTCATAATGACAGGGTGAGGCAGGCTGCAGCAGCCCTACAATGAGAGTTATGGTTTGCATTCACTTTTACTGGCAAAGTCTAAGCAAAGGATTAAGGAGGGAAGTTCAGTGGTGCCTGCTGGGAGGAGGGTTTCCATCTTGGCAATTTCATTCCACTTAGAAACTGACCCAGTTTAAAAAGAAAGATGTATTTTACTAGCACTGGAGTAAAAGACACAGGATTCTTGCTTTTTTCTCTGATGGACTGAGTGTGGGTGGGCAAAGAAACCGTAGGATTATCAGATTTGGGAGGAAACTGGCCAAGGCCATCAGCAGTAAACTGTTTGGACATACAGGGGGCATATTCCTAAACCCTAGGAATGCAAAAGCTCCCAAACCTTGTGTTGATCAAGAATGTTCTAACCCTCCAGGTGCTAGAAAGAAGTTGCAGGTTAAGAAAAGCTGCACACTGCACCAAGGTAAGAAGGGTGACAGACATTCAGATAAACCTTGGACCACCAGCTATCCCTGCTCACCCTCGACTCATTCTGAGAATGCTTCAGGCAAGTGACCTACAGACCAATTCAAACCAAGCCATGTGCTTGCCCTAGACCTGAACCAGGTGTTTGCTAAATAACTGGGCTGAGCCAGGAGTGCCTTTAGGCTCAGCACACAACAGAGAACATGTCATGTACCAGTTAACTGCTTTCCCTTCTGAACTGCTCCTTTAGAATGAAAGGACGTTCATGGCCATCTCAGAAGATGTGGAATAATTAAATGACAGCAGCAGCCAAGGAGGGTAAGGCAGGTGAAAAAAATCTCCCATTATGCATGGGGAAATTTTGCTCTCTGAATCTTATTCCCCTCTTCAACTGCTCTTCCCTAAAAATGGAAGTCTGCAAGTTTTCAACCCTTGAGGGTTACTTCCTTTGTAGGAACAAATCCTTAGACTTCACCTCCTGCCTTGGAACCAATCCCATTCAGCAAGCTGCCAGCCCAGGGTCCCTCCTCACGTGCTCTGTCCAGGGCTGCTCACATCAGGAGGGCTCTTCTGGAGGTCTGCAAGGAGGTCCTGATTAGCAAGGGAATCATATAATGGAAAGAAAACATGGCTGCCCTCCTGGCTGGATATGATCAATTTCCTCCCTCTTTCCTCCACCCAGATCCCTCTATATTCAGAAGCAACTGATGAAAGACTCTTCATAGAAGTTACTCCTTTTGATTTGTTTTATCAAAGGAGGGAATTTCAAAATCCATTCAAACAAAAGTGACTATAAATTTTAAGATAGGACAGGAGTCAGCTGGCACTTTCTGCTCTAGACCCAGTGAGGCAAACCTAGTAATCTGTTCCTGCAGTAAACCTTATCTTCTATAAGAGGGAAGATATACAGACACCAATAGTTTAAAAGCAAGCCAGTCTTTGATACGTGCCTCCCATTCAGGGGAAGGTCCGTGATCTGCCCTTATCGTTGTTGCTGGACTGCACCTGAGCTTGGAGTTGGGTTTCTGAAATTCTTGCATTGCCCTGAACTGTTCTTTGAGTATAAAAAAGGATGTAGGCTTGAGTTTTGCACACTTCTTCAACACTGCATACATTCAGCTTTGAGTCATTGCAGTGGACCCAAAAACCTAGGAAACCAAAGGAAAGAAAGAAAGAAAATAACTATCCAACTCATATTTTCAATCAGCAGGCAAAACCAGGAGATGAAGGAAAGGCACAGAGGAGTTCTGAATAGAGCCAACCCTTGATTACTGGTGGTGGTGGAAGGGACAAGTGAATGAAACCAACAGACCTCCCTGTAACCATTAACTTTTAAGAAAACGCACTAAACCTCATCACAGTACTGCTTCCAATATCAACTGACTAATTTTTGTCCTACTTTTATTCAGGTTTTTTCATTTCTCATTAGGGCCTTGTACAAAGATAGCAGGAGATGGGAGGCTAAGAGATGGAAAGAGGAGAAGGAGGGGAGGAGAAATGTACACAGAGAGGAGTGAGAAAGGAAAATTTAGAAGGAATGAAAGGTGATTTGTTCACTGGCTCACTCCGACCCCAGGGCTGAGGGACTCAAGAATAGTATACCACTGAAAACACAGCTGCAGCCCACCTGCCTCAGGGCAGTAGCCAGGAGGCTCTGCTCTAGGGTACAAGGACTGAAAGCTCCCCATACCTCCCAGGGTGAGGGAGGTGGTAAGGACATGGTAAGCGCTCAGGAAGTGTCCTCAGCTGTATTATGAGCTGAGGCTTGTGAGATTCACACAGTATCTTCAAGGGGTCACACAGGTCCTATAGTTCCTGCATAACCAAGAAGAAAACTGAGGACTGCAGCAGAAGAATTAATAATAGTGATAACCTCTAACCGTGATTGAGAATTATGTGCTAGGCACCAGGCTAAGCACTTTCACATGTGTCAGTGCCTGTCAATTCTTGGGACAATTACATGCTGTTACTTAGTGATATAACTAAAATTTGAACCCAACTTTTACTTCTTTCCATTGAATTTTAATGTATGTAATATCCCCCATAGATGAAATAAAAGCAAAGCAGTGAAATGTGGACAAACCAACCCTTTTCCGTGTTCCCCCACCCCACAGAGTAAAGCGCACGCACCTCCCTCTGTGTTGTAGCAATAGGCTGTGTAGTGTCCTGAGCCAAACCCTTTCCCGTGATGCATGACCACTGCGGAGAGATCATAGGCAAAGGTCTCTTTGTCAAGAGAGGAGAGCATGTCCCTGCAGCAGTAAGGTTCCATGGTTAATACCTGGTCAAAGACGACATGGACCCCAATCTTCTCTCGATGATTACGGCCAGACCACCTAGAACATGAATATAAACTTCTTACTAATAAAAAATGGCATATGCTATCAGAGTTGGATAAAACAAGGAACTGAGAAAGCTTTTCACATCAATAAAACAGTCATAATCAATGTCCACATGTATTTCCTGTGAATGTTCCATGATATGCTGTGAAACTAGAGATCCCTAAATAAGCAATTCATGCAATAATCTTTCTGTAATTTACTGCCTGCCCTACTTTTCATGGATTATCTCATAATATTTTATTCTGAAGATGACTTTATAAAAGCCCAAATGAGACTAGAAAAGTTTCAAGCACTGACACCGAGTATAGGCTATTGGATCACACAGGGCCACGAGAGTGGAAGCCCAGTTCTGGGTCCCATCAGCCTGCCTCACTGGGCATGATACATTTAATCTCCACTGAAAGCAAAGGGTCTCTAGGCAACAGGCTTTCCCTCCCAACACCAAAGACATGCATCCTCACCAAAGCCTTTGAAGCAACTACTACCCAGTTTACAGCCACCTGGGATGCCCCAGCACAAGCTCACCTGAATCTCTTAAGGTGCAGCCGGAGGACCTGAGGTAGTCTGTAGATCATTAACTGCTTTCTAGCTTCACTCAGAACAAGGGGTTTTGGATTGGATTTTCGTCGTTTGCCTATATGGTTTGGAAAGGTGTAAGACATAGATTGTGAGGAATCTCATTCTTTCCTATCTAAGCAGAGACAATGACTTGCCACTCAATGTGCAAGCTCTGTATTTCTCAGTATTTGAATCTCAATTTTATTTGGGGCAATAATGTGATCCTCTGTAAGAATACATTTCCTAGCCTCACATGCCTGCATGGTGTGGTCATGGACATTCTGGCATAGATGAGTGGAATGACTGTGTGGCATGGCTGCTTAAAGAAGGCTGACTGAGTTTTAAGGTGCATCCTTTGTCCCTCCCACAGTTTGCAGCTACTCGAATTCCCCTTGGACCAGGAAGTAACCTTGAGGATGGAAGCCTTGAAGTAGGATAGTAAAGCTGAAAGATGGAAAGTCTGGGTCCCCAGGGACCATGCAGCCACTGAGCCAGACTCTGAATGTCTTTCAGATTTCTTTCATATTACAGAAAAAACTTAACATCTTGTTTTTAAGTCACTGTTATTTGAGTTGACTTACAGACAACCAAACCTAATCCTAATGTATCCACTTTCAAGTTTTTGCAACTTCTAAAATTGGTATAGTTGAGGATGATATACTCCTGGTATCAGGGATTTATTAATGGAATATAATGAACATATGATTACTTCACATGCAACAACATGCACATGAAGTAGATGTATATATTTGGGTTCTGTGTCTTTGTATATGGGTTTATAACTTGAAGTATGATGCACATAATGTAACTTCAGCTTTTTCTTTTCATCAGGTAGGCCTAACTCTGTTTCCTGCTCATAGCTAGTTGTATGCTATTGGACAAATTATCCAGAATTCTGAACCTCAGTTTCCTCACCTGTAAAGTGGGAATTAATGCATATATTTCAGGCTCAGGAAAAGGGTAAAAGGACACATTACTAGAGGGCAGAGTTTTTAAATCTTTTTTTCCCAGCATGGTTTGCTTGTGGTACATACAAATATTTAGGAAAAAAAACTTTGCTCGTTTTATATTTTTATGCTGTACCTAGTTTATGATTCATGTTTCTTGGATAAAAGCACACTGCTGGACCTGCAGGACAAGGCTAACAGGCTGACCAAATTCACACAGTCAAAAGCAGAACCAGTGCTGAGTAGCTTTTGTTTCTAAAGCTACTGAATTGTGGGGGAAATGCTTTTCTAAATTATAGCAAATAAACGATGGAAATAAAGTTTTCATAATTTCCATCAGAAGCCTTCTCTATAACCATTTACTGATGACTGCTGTTATTACATTAATTAAACTGGTGAATGGATGTGAGTATAAAATCAGGGGCCTACTGTGGTGCCTGCTAATTATCTTTGAGCTGCTCATATCCCTCTCAGTGTCTGAAGAGCTTGGCGTTTGATTCCAAGTCCTGTCTGTATACCACTCATGAAACGTAGCAAATCACAGCCAGAGATGATGTATCATGGAGCTTTGTGACAACAGGATGTGGAGCAGAATGAGTGTGTCATAGAAGCTTTTATTGGGACTGGCTGTCACAATATGTGGGGGCATGAATAGAAAGGGAATTCAAAGAGGTGCCTGGCTTTATTTTACATTCCTATTCACCAGCAGGTTTTTGAAAATTATTGCAGCTCCCTAGCAGTGACCGCCACTCTCAGCAGAGGGAGTATGTGAGCTAAGATGAAGACAATATAGAATCTGGCTTTGTTCTCTGAAACGAAATTCACAAAGAAAGAGGAATTACTGATTCAATTGAGATTGATCAGTTCTGTCTCCATTTGATTAAGCTGGCCGCACAGAGAGGTGGAAGACTGATAGTTTTGAAACTTCACAAGCACAGATCAATGCATCTCATCCCTTCACCACAGCTTTTCTTCCCTGTTATTATTTGAACTGGCCTAGAGAAATCCTGGTAAACTGGCAAATCTGGCAACTAGAAAAACCATTTCTTGCAAAAATAAAAGTATTCCTTGCCTCATCTATCATGTCTGAGAGTGATGGAGTTAAAGCATCCATCTGTTCCTTATAAGTAAAAATCTTTATGAACACTATTTTAAAATTTTATATTAAAAGCAAAACCTACGAGTCAGGCCCCCTTTGACTCCTGCTGTGACTGATGTTAGTTGTTATCTTGGGAGGCATTTGAAAGTATGGATCCTGCAACGGGGACCCTAAGAATGTGAGCACTTAGCTTCTTCCTTATAAGTAAAAAGCTTTATGAATCACTATTTTAAAATACCAAACAGATACTGCTCTAATACGAAAATTTAAGTTATATTTTAATATGAAACAGGACAGGTGAGTCTACAGTTAAGTACAGCATTTCAAATTTTGTTTTAAAATGGCCAAGTAATATCAAGAATGACTTTTGATTTCTGTCCTGAATCTTCAGCGAGAACAGGTTTCCCACAATTTACTATTTTAAAAAGCTATATGCAAATATATTAAGGGCTACCATAAAATTGTTGTTCCCAAAACTTGCAGTCCAAACTATTATATAGCTGCAAATCAATTTCTAGATCTCTACAGTTTGGATATTATAGTTTCCAAATCTTTATATGGAAAACACCCAAACATGAGCATCCAAGTATTTGCTCTGCATTTCCTCTGTACACGCCAGGTCTGCAAAAACATTTGTTAGAGCGCCAAGACAGAGGGGCCCTGCGTAAAATGCCCACATAACCACAGGGAAAGAGGTCCACTTTAAAATTACGGCTGTGATAGGGAAATACTTCCTTAGGACCCCCTCTAAGATGTGGACTTTTCAGGCATGTGAAGGAACAACAAATGCAGAAAATAACTATGAAGATACTACTGAGCAATGCACTTTAGGACTGGCTTTCTCCTTGCTTTCTCTGTGTTGTACCAGTCTTTTAGCTTCACCTCTGACAAACTTTAAATCTACAAATTCAGTATAAAATTTGTTATAAAATATTCACACTTTTCTTGATATCACAGCACACAAACAGGCTATGCCACCTGAATTTAGATTGAATCACTGTCAGACTCTATGTTCATGAATTTAAGCAGGACCCCTGGAGCACTAAGAAGCCAAGTGCTCACATTCTTAGGGTCCCTGTTTCAGGATCCATACTTTCAAACACCTCCCAGGATAACAACTAATGACAACCTTCTTGACAACAGGAGTCAAAGGGGTCCAACTCCTAAGTTTTGCTTTTAGTATAAAATGCCCACATACTTATTTTCAGGAAAATGGAAGATAAAAAAATCTTTAAAAGATGAGTTTGAATCACTCAGTATTATCAGTGTTATTTTTGACTAATAGGCAAAAGAAGCACCTTAATCTGATATTCCAGTTGCATGCTCCCCCTGTCACGCCCCCTCCACACTCACTGTTACACTGGTCACAAGCGTAGATTCTCCCTTCCAGAGCCTCTGTCTCTGTGAACTTGGCCAACATCTCAGTGAGCAGGCACTCTGTCTGGTTCAAAGGGATAAAGCCCTTTTCTATGCAGTGATAGCGTTCAGGGAATTCCAGGGACAGATCCCAAAAGGGCTCAATGGTATTGGATTTGTAATTGCATGATACACATGTGACCTAGAATGAAAAGATTCATTTACAGGTTATATAACTTCCATGCTTCCCACATACATTTTTCCTTCCGTTATGTAAGACACATAACCAAAACTAAGTACAGAGTTTTCAAAAGATACTTGATTGCAATACTAAAATAATAAACATAACTTTAAGAGAATTCGACCATAGTACTTGTGGTATATGTTTCTAACTTTGACGCCAGCAGGAACTGGGGAACCACCAGCACTGAGACTGTTGCCCACTCCTTTCCTTCTTCTCTCCCAAAGCAAGCTCTGCCCTTCAGTGCTGCAGGAGTACATCTGGACATTATTGTGGAGTCACTCAGGAATCAGTCTGAGCTGGAGATTTGCAGGTTCCTGCCTGCTTCTCTCATCTTCACACTCCTCCCATCCCATCCAACTTGCCTCTCTCTTTTTGCCCTTGTTTGTTGCAATATCCCCCTATGCAGATCCCTGTGTCAGAAGAACCTCAAAGTACCTTATGATTAGACCTCCACTCCCACTATAACCTTCGCAGATGCACCTTTCTTCCTATGGACCCTTAGGAGATAGGAGAAGTGCTGATAAATACTACCCTTCCATATGCTAAAAAACAAAAGCCTAAATAAACTTTCTCTTCCCATCTCACTCATCATTCTTTTAACACTCTACATACCAAGACACAAAACTCTATTGGCATAGTGTTGAGGTTAACTGAAAATGTCTTTAGTTGCCCACCTTTTTAAAAATTCTTCTGCATATTCTCACAAAGCCTTATCTACGAGTCTTCCCTTATGTTCCTACATGGCCAAAATTCCAGAAAACAAAAGGTAATGGGGAACACGAGAAGGCTTGCTTAAGCCTTTCGCATCCTCCTAGCCACCTCCATGCCTTGTACGTAAAGAATGCCTTGGAAGGAAGACTGCTCTTTCAAACTATCATGAAACCAGGGTTATAGGCAAACGATTCAATTTCCAAACGCTGATCAAAGGATGGCATGCCAACAATGGGTACTTACTCATGACGACTTTAAGACTCTTACATCACCCATGTCATCAGTAAAAGTAAAAGACATTCACTGAATATGAAGCGACATGGCAAGTTAAACTAAAAATCTGCCCAGAAAGACACAGGAGGCAAGTTCACCAGCAAGGCCATCACAAGCACCGTACAATGAAAGGTACACTGGCCACCTCAATCATGCCTAAGTAGAGCAAATGTTGGCTACTCTAGTTAGCCCAACAACCTAGGCAGGCACTCACAGGAAGCTCAACTCCAACACAGAAGCCTCCCTCCAAAGGGATGCGCAGTCGGCGTTAGGGTGGGTACACACCTACCTGACTGAGTAGCTGCCCGTGAAATATGGTATTCACCACCTTTAAGACCTGTTTGGTGAGCTTCCTCTGGGAGAAGGGGATGAGGATCCGGCGCGTGGTGCCCTCGGACTCGAGTTCCTGCTGAACTTTGTGCAACAGCTCACAGAGAAATTCCTGCGCATCCTGCTGGTCGTAGCCACGGAAGGCAGGGATCAGGCTCCACACCGAGTGGAGCATGGCGAAGGGCGACACCAGGGCCCACTTCCCGGACCACATGACTCGGAAGAGGGTGTGCAGTTCATGGCAGAGGGAAATGTGCTTCGAGCTCGGCTCCTTGTTCTGGATGAGTTCTAGGCTCCTGCTGATGGAGGCCCCGCCGTTCAAGTAGAGGCCTTCCCGCTCGCACGACTTGGCCCGGTCGCTCCTCGCCGCCAGCTCGGTGGCCGAGCTGCTGGCCGGCCTGCCCGAGAGCGGAGCCTTCCCGTTGGTGGCTTTGGGAAACAGTTGTTCCGTTTTGGAAGGGTCGAGGTTTAGAAAACACTCGCGGAACTTCTGCAGGTGGCTGAGCACCTGGAGGATGGAGTTCATGTAGCAGGTGTTGCCCAGGTTGCGCAGGCCCGTGACGCCCGGCGCCATGGCGGGCGCGCGGCGCGGCGTGAGGCGGCCCCCGGCGGGCGCGCGCGGCAAGGCGGGCCGCGGGGCCGCGGCGCGGGGCGCGTGCAGCAGCAGCCGCGCGCTCTTGCGCGGAGGGGCGCTGGCCAGCTCCTCCAGCAGCCGCCGCTTCACTTCGCGCCGCCGCTGCCGCGCCTGCTCCTTCTTGCGCGCCAGCGCCGCCTCCTGCCGCCGCTGCTCCAGCTTGGCCTGGCCCCGGGAGCTCTTCTCGAACCAGAGCCGCAGCGTCTTGGCCAGCAGGCGCTGGCGCCGGTACCACAGAGCCGTGAGCATCTGCGGCTGTCCCTGAGGGGCGCGCTGCGGCGGGACCGTGTCCTCGCCCGAGGCCATGGACCGCAGCGTCCGCCCGCGCCTCACCAGTGGGTCCTGCTCCTGGCCCCTGACAGCCAAGAGGGAGCTTCTCAGCAGCTTCAGGTCCCCCTCGGGGTTATCATTGAGCACGTAGTCCTTGCACAAGTAACAGAACACGTAGAGATCCCGGACCTCCATGGCTAGTGGGTGTCCCGTCTCTTCGAAGTGTGTCGTGGCGTGATCCTCGATGTACCGGCCGCAGGCCACGTGGGAGCACTTGAGACAGGCCCACACCGACTCAGTGGTGGTGCACTCCCTGCAGCACCACTTCTGTGGGTTCAGGATGGAGTGGTCCTGGGCCAGTCGCAACCGCCCTACATGTTTGCATCTATCCATGTCTTAGAGAAGTCTCCACTCTTTCAACCTACACGACAGAGGCCCAAAGAGAGAGAAAAAAAAAGACCTTTCAGCAAAATATTTTCCTACAAAAAGTTTTGCAACTGGTATTTTCAACTCAGTCCTCATTAGTTTCATTCAAAATTGGTTCCTTTGCAAGTTAAAAAAGAAAACAAAATTCGGTATAGACTGAGAATTACAGAAAGACAAACTTGAAAGGGATGAATCATAAAATACTATGGGGTGGAGAGGGAGCTTAGCACCAATTTGAAGCATTAATTTTTCTAAGCCTGTTTTAATTCTGGAATATCATCTGATTTTTATGTGAGGCTGATTTCTGTTCCGTAGGAAATGTCACTACCCTTATTTCGTATTGCACCCAACCAGCCATGAGGGTAAAAACACCTGTATTCTGAACCATTCCTGAACTGAGCTGTCTTAGGAGTGAAAGCCTCTGTATCTCATACTGACCAAAATCCTGGTTGTATGCAGAAAGGGACAGGGGAGAGGAGAGGAGGAGAGACATAGATGGTGTTTCAAGTGTCAGAAGAAGAGATGAAGACCCTCAAATGAAAAGGTAATCTTAGGTGGCTTTCAGTGTATTTCGAAGCAGAGGTAACAGGATAAGATAAAAGACCTCTACAGTACAAAGGATCATTTTTATTTTCTTGAGTTCAAAAAACCTGGCTAAGAAGGTAGACGGTCAATAACATTTTATCTGTCCACTGTGGTCTGAGTTTTTTGCTTCCCCCCCCAATTCATATGCTAATATTTTAACCTCTCAGGTAGGTGGGGTTAGGAGATAGAGCCTTTGGGAGGTGCCTGGGTCCCGAATGGGCAGACCCGCATAGAATGAGTCCTCAGGAACAGGATTAGTACGCTTATAAAAGAGCTCTTTCACTCCTTCTGACATTTGAGGACACACCACAGAGTGAGCCATATGGCTATGTACCAGGAAGTCCTTACCAGACACGTAATCTGGTGCCATAATCTTGGACTTCCTGACTCCTGAACTGTGAGAAATGAGTGTTTATTGTTTATAAACTACCTTATATGCTATTCTTGTTATAGCAACCATGAGGAACTAAGACAAGGTAGGTGTCTTTTTTAAAAGAACATTTACATCTTGGAAAAAGGGTAGGAAAANACACAGCTGCAGCCCACCTGCCTCAGGGCAGTAGCCAGGAGGCTCTGCTCTAGGGTACAAGGACTGAAAGCTCCCCATACCTCCCAGGGTGAGGGAGGTGGTAAGGACATGGTAAGCGCTCAGGAAGTGTCCTCAGCTGTATTATGAGCTGAGGCTTGTGAGATTCACACAGTATCTTCAAGGGGTCACACAGGTCCTATAGTTCCTGCATAACCAAGAAGAAAACTGAGGACTGCAGCAGAAGAATTAATAATAGTGATAACCTCTAACCGTGATTGAGAATTATGTGCTAGGCACCAGGCTAAGCACTTTCACATGTGTCAGTGCCTGTCAATTCTTGGGACAATTACATGCTGTTACTTAGTGATATAACTAAAATTTGAACCCAACTTTTACTTCTTTCCATTGAATTTTAATGTATGTAATATCCCCCATAGATGAAATAAAAGCAAAGCAGTGAAATGTGGACAAACCAACCCTTTTCCGTGTTCCCCCACCCCACAGAGTAAAGCGCACGCACCTCCCTCTGTGTTGTAGCAATAGGCTGTGTAGTGTCCTGAGCCAAACCCTTTCCCGTGATGCATGACCACTGCGGAGAGATCATAGGCAAAGGTCTCTTTGTCAAGAGAGGAGAGCATGTCCCTGCAGCAGTAAGGTTCCATGGTTAATACCTGGTCAAAGACGACATGGACCCCAATCTTCTCTCGATGATTACGGCCAGACCACCTAGAACATGAATATAAACTTCTTACTAATAAAAAATGGCATATGCTATCAGAGTTGGATAAAACAAGGAACTGAGAAAGCTTTTCACATCAATAAAACAGTCATAATCAATGTCCACATGTATTTCCTGTGAATGTTCCATGATATGCTGTGAAACTAGAGATCCCTAAATAAGCAATTCATGCAATAATCTTTCTGTAATTTACTGCCTGCCCTACTTTTCATGGATTATCTCATAATATTTTATTCTGAAGATGACTTTATAAAAGCCCAAATGAGACTAGAAAAGTTTCAAGCACTGACACCGAGTATAGGCTATTGGATCACACAGGGCCACGAGAGTGGAAGCCCAGTTCTGGGTCCCATCAGCCTGCCTCACTGGGCATGATACATTTAATCTCCACTGAAAGCAAAGGGTCTCTAGGCAACAGGCTTTCCCTCCCAACACCAAAGACATGCATCCTCACCAAAGCCTTTGAAGCAACTACTACCCAGTTTACAGCCACCTGGGATGCCCCAGCACAAGCTCACCTGAATCTCTTAAGGTGCAGCCGGAGGACCTGAGGTAGTCTGTAGATCATTAACTGCTTTCTAGCTTCACTCAGAACAAGGGGTTTTGGATTGGATTTTCGTCGTTTGCCTATATGGTTTGGAAAGGTGTAAGACATAGATTGTGAGGAATCTCATTCTTTCCTATCTAAGCAGAGACAATGACTTGCCACTCAATGTGCAAGCTCTGTATTTCTCAGTATTTGAATCTCAATTTTATTTGGGGCAATAATGTGATCGATCCTCTGTAAGAATACATTTCCTAGCCTCACATGCCTGCATGGTGTGGTCATGGACATTCTGGCATAGATGAGTGGAATGACTGTGTGGCATGGCTGCTTAAAGAAGGCTGACTGAGTTTTAAGGTGCATCCTTTGTCCCTCCCACAGTTTGCAGCTACTCGAATTCCCCTTGGACCAGGAAGTAACCTTGAGGATGGAAGCCTTGAAGTAGGATAGTAAAGCTGAAAGATGGAAAGTCTGGGTCCCCAGGGACCATGCAGCCACTGAGCCAGACTCTGAATGTCTTTCAGATTTCTTTCATATTACAGAAAAAACTTAACATCTTGTTTTTAAGTCACTGTTATTTGAGTTGACTTACAGACAACCAAACCTAATCCTAATGTATCCACTTTCAAGTTTTTGCAACTTCTAAAATTGGTATAGTTGAGGATGATATACTCCTGGTATCAGGGATTTATTAATGGAATATAATGAACATATGATTACTTCACATGCAACAACATGCACATGAAGTAGATGTATATATTTGGGTTCTGTGTCTTTGTATATGGGTTTATAACTTGAAGTATGATGCACATAATGTAACTTCAGCTTTTTCTTTTCATCAGGTAGGCCTAACTCTGTTTCCTGCTCATAGCTAGTTGTATGCTATTGGACAAATTATCCAGAATTCTGAACCTCAGTTTCCTCACCTGTAAAGTGGGAATTAATGCATATATTTCAGGCTCAGGAAAAGGGTAAAAGGACACATTACTAGAGGGCAGAGTTTTTAAATCTTTTTTTCCCAGCATGGTTTGCTTGTGGTACATACAAATATTTAGGAAAAAAAACTTTGCTCGTTTTATATTTTTATGCTGTACCTAGTTTATGATTCATGTTTCTTGGATAAAAGCACACTGCTGGACCTGCAGGACAAGGCTAACAGGCTGACCAAATTCACACAGTCAAAAGCAGAACCAGTGCTGAGTAGCTTTTGTTTCTAAAGCTACTGAATTGTGGGGGAAATGCTTTTCTAAATTATAGCAAATAAACGATGGAAATAAAGTTTTCATAATTTCCATCAGAAGCCTTCTCTATAACCATTTACTGATGACTGCTGTTATTACATTAATTAAACTGGTGAATGGATGTGAGTATAAAATCAGGGGCCTACTGTGGTGCCTGCTAATTATCTTTGAGCTGCTCATATCCCTCTCAGTGTCTGAAGAGCTTGGCGTTTGATTCCAAGTCCTGTCTGTATACCACTCATGAAACGTAGCAAATCACAGCCAGAGATGATGTATCATGGAGCTTTGTGACAACAGGATGTGGAGCAGAATGAGTGTGTCATAGAAGCTTTTATTGGGACTGGCTGTCACAATATGTGGGGGCATGAATAGAAAGGGAATTCAAAGAGGTGCCTGGCTTTATTTTACATTCCTATTCACCAGCAGGTTTTTGAAAATTATTGCAGCTCCCTAGCAGTGACCGCCACTCTCAGCAGAGGGAGTATGTGAGCTAAGATGAAGACAATATAGAATCTGGCTTTGTTCTCTGAAACGAAATTCACAAAGAAAGAGGAATTACTGATTCAATTGAGATTGATCAGTTCTGTCTCCATTTGATTAAGCTGGCCGCACAGAGAGGTGGAAGACTGATAGTTTTGAAACTTCACAAGCACAGATCAATGCATCTCATCCCTTCACCACAGCTTTTCTTCCCTGTTATTATTTGAACTGGCCTAGAGAAATCCTGGTAAACTGGCAAATCTGGCAACTAGAAAAACCATTTCTTGCAAAAATAAAAGTATTCCTTGCCTCATCTATCATGTCTGAGAGTGATGGAGTTAAAGCATCCATCTGTTCCTTATAAGTAAAAATCTTTATGAACACTATTTTAAAATTTTATATTAAAAGCAAAACCTACGAGTCAGGCCCCCTTTGACTCCTGCTGTGACTGATGTTAGTTGTTATCTTGGGAGGCATTTGAAAGTATGGATCCTGCAACGGGGACCCTAAGAATGTGAGCACTTAGCTTCTTCCTTATAAGTAAAAAGCTTTATGAATCACTATTTTAAAATACCAAACAGATACTGCTCTAATACGAAAATTTAAGTTATATTTTAATATGAAACAGGACAGGTGAGTCTACAGTTAAGTACAGCATTTCAAATTTTGTTTTAAAATGGCCAAGTAATATCAAGAATGACTTTTGATTTCTGTCCTGAATCTTCAGCGAGAACAGGTTTCCCACAATTTACTATTTTAAAAAGCTATATGCAAATATATTAAGGGCTACCATAAAATTGTTGTTCCCAAAACTTGCAGTCCAAACTATTATATAGCTGCAAATCAATTTCTAGATCTCTACAGTTTGGATATTATAGTTTCCAAATCTTTATATGGAAAACACCCAAACATGAGCATCCAAGTATTTGCTCTGCATTTCCTCTGTACACGCCAGGTCTGCAAAAACATTTGTTAGAGCGCCAAGACAGAGGGGCCCTGCGTAAAATGCCCACATAACCACAGGGAAAGAGGTCCACTTTAAAATTACGGCTGTGATAGGGAAATACTTCCTTAGGACCCCCTCTAAGATGTGGACTTTTCAGGCATGTGAAGGAACAACAAATGCAGAAAATAACTATGAAGATACTACTGAGCAATGCACTTTAGGACTGGCTTTCTCCTTGCTTTCTCTGTGTTGTACCAGTCTTTTAGCTTCACCTCTGACAAACTTTAAATCTACAAATTCAGTATAAAATTTGTTATAAAATATTCACACTTTTCTTGATATCACAGCACACAAACAGGCTATGCCACCTGAATTTAGATTGAATCACTGTCAGACTCTATGTTCATGAATTTAAGCAGGACCCCTGGAGCACTAAGAAGCCAAGTGCTCACATTCTTAGGGTCCCTGTTTCAGGATCCATACTTTCAAACACCTCCCAGGATAACAACTAATGACAACCTTCTTGACAACAGGAGTCAAAGGGGTCCAACTCCTAAGTTTTGCTTTTAGTATAAAATGCCCACATACTTATTTTCAGGAAAATGGAAGATAAAAAAATCTTTAAAAGATGAGTTTGAATCACTCAGTATTATCAGTGTTATTTTTGACTAATAGGCAAAAGAAGCACCTTAATCTGATATTCCAGTTGCATGCTCCCCCTGTCACGCCCCCTCCACACTCACTGTTACACTGGTCACAAGCGTAGATTCTCCCTTCCAGAGCCTCTGTCTCTGTGAACTTGGCCAACATCTCAGTGAGCAGGCACTCTGTCTGGTTCAAAGGGATAAAGCCCTTTTCTATGCAGTGATAGCGTTCAGGGAATTCCAGGGACAGATCCCAAAAGGGCTCAATGGTATTGGATTTGTAATTGCATGATACACATGTGACCTAGAATGAAAAGATTCATTTACAGGTTATATAACTTCCATGCTTCCCACATACATTTTTCCTTCCGTTATGTAAGACACATAACCAAAACTAAGTACAGAGTTTTCAAAAGATACTTGATTGCAATACTAAAATAATAAACATAACTTTAAGAGAATTCGACCATAGTACTTGTGGTATATGTTTCTAACTTTGACGCCAGCAGGAACTGGGGAACCACCAGCACTGAGACTGTTGCCCACTCCTTTCCTTCTTCTCTCCCAAAGCAAGCTCTGCCCTTCAGTGCTGCAGGAGTACATCTGGACATTATTGTGGAGTCACTCAGGAATCAGTCTGAGCTGGAGATTTGCAGGTTCCTGCCTGCTTCTCTCATCTTCACACTCCTCCCATCCCATCCAACTTGCCTCTCTCTTTTTGCCCTTGTTTGTTGCAATATCCCCCTATGCAGATCCCTGTGTCAGAAGAACCTCAAAGTACCTTATGATTAGACCTCCACTCCCACTATAACCTTCGCAGATGCACCTTTCTTCCTATGGACCCTTAGGAGATAGGAGAAGTGCTGATAAATACTACCCTTCCATATGCTAAAAAACAAAAGCCTAAATAAACTTTCTCTTCCCATCTCACTCATCATTCTTTTAACACTCTACATACCAAGACACAAAACTCTATTGGCATAGTGTTGAGGTTAACTGAAAATGTCTTTAGTTGCCCACCTTTTTAAAAATTCTTCTGCATATTCTCACAAAGCCTTATCTACGAGTCTTCCCTTATGTTCCTACATGGCCAAAATTCCAGAAAACAAAAGGTAATGGGGAACACGAGAAGGCTTGCTTAAGCCTTTCGCATCCTCCTAGCCACCTCCATGCCTTGTACGTAAAGAATGCCTTGGAAGGAAGACTGCTCTTTCAAACTATCATGAAACCAGGGTTATAGGCAAACGATTCAATTTCCAAACGCTGATCAAAGGATGGCATGCCAACAATGGGTACTTACTCATGACGACTTTAAGACTCTTACATCACCCATGTCATCAGTAAAAGTAAAAGACATTCACTGAATATGAAGCGACATGGCAAGTTAAACTAAAAATCTGCCCAGAAAGACACAGGAGGCAAGTTCACCAGCAAGGCCATCACAAGCACCGTACAATGAAAGGTACACTGGCCACCTCAATCATGCCTAAGTAGAGCAAATGTTGGCTACTCTAGTTAGCCCAACAACCTAGGCAGGCACTCACAGGAAGCTCAACTCCAACACAGAAGCCTCCCTCCAAAGGGATGCGCAGTCGGCGTTAGGGTGGGTACACACCTACCTGACTGAGTAGCTGCCCGTGAAATATGGTATTCACCACCTTTAAGACCTGTTTGGTGAGCTTCCTCTGGGAGAAGGGGATGAGGATCCGGCGCGTGGTGCCCTCGGACTCGAGTTCCTGCTGAACTTTGTGCAACAGCTCACAGAGAAATTCCTGCGCATCCTGCTGGTCGTAGCCACGGAAGGCAGGGATCAGGCTCCACACCGAGTGGAGCATGGCGAAGGGCGACACCAGGGCCCACTTCCCGGACCACATGACTCGGAAGAGGGTGTGCAGTTCATGGCAGAGGGAAATGTGCTTCGAGCTCGGCTCCTTGTTCTGGATGAGTTCTAGGCTCCTGCTGATGGAGGCCCCGCCGTTCAAGTAGAGGCCTTCCCGCTCGCACGACTTGGCCCGGTCGCTCCTCGCCGCCAGCTCGGTGGCCGAGCTGCTGGCCGGCCTGCCCGAGAGCGGAGCCTTCCCGTTGGTGGCTTTGGGAAACAGTTGTTCCGTTTTGGAAGGGTCGAGGTTTAGAAAACACTCGCGGAACTTCTGCAGGTGGCTGAGCACCTGGAGGATGGAGTTCATGTAGCAGGTGTTGCCCAGGTTGCGCAGGCCCGTGACGCCCGGCGCCATGGCGGGCGCGCGGCGCGGCGTGAGGCGGCCCCCGGCGGGCGCGCGCGGCAAGGCGGGCCGCGGGGCCGCGGCGCGGGGCGCGTGCAGCAGCAGCCGCGCGCTCTTGCGCGGAGGGGCGCTGGCCAGCTCCTCCAGCAGCCGCCGCTTCACTTCGCGCCGCCGCTGCCGCGCCTGCTCCTTCTTGCGCGCCAGCGCCGCCTCCTGCCGCCGCTGCTCCAGCTTGGCCTGGCCCCGGGAGCTCTTCTCGAACCAGAGCCGCAGCGTCTTGGCCAGCAGGCGCTGGCGCCGGTACCACAGAGCCGTGAGCATCTGCGGCTGTCCCTGAGGGGCGCGCTGCGGCGGGACCGTGTCCTCGCCCGAGGCCATGGACCGCAGCGTCCGCCCGCGCCTCACCAGTGGGTCCTGCTCCTGGCCCCTGACAGCCAAGAGGGAGCTTCTCAGCAGCTTCAGGTCCCCCTCGGGGTTATCATTGAGCACGTAGTCCTTGCACAAGTAACAGAACACGTAGAGATCCCGGACCTCCATGGCTAGTGGGTGTCCCGTCTCTTCGAAGTGTGTCGTGGCGTGATCCTCGATGTACCGGCCGCAGGCCACGTGGGAGCACTTGAGACAGGCCCACACCGACTCAGTGGTGGTGCACTCCCTGCAGCACCACTTCTGTGGGTTCAGGATGGAGTGGTCCTGGGCCAGTCGCAACCGCCCTACATGTTTGCATCTATCCATGTCTTAGAGAAGTCTCCACTCTTTCAACCTACACGACAGAGGCCCAAAGAGAGAGAAAAAAAAAGACCTTTCAGCAAAATATTTTCCTACAAAAAGTTTTGCAACTGGTATTTTCAACTCAGTCCTCATTAGTTTCATTCAAAATTGGTTCCTTTGCAAGTTAAAAAAGAAAACAAAATTCGGTATAGACTGAGAATTACAGAAAGACAAACTTGAAAGGGATGAATCATAAAATACTATGGGGTGGAGAGGGAGCTTAGCACCAATTTGAAGCATTAATTTTTCTAAGCCTGTTTTAATTCTGGAATATCATCTGATTTTTATGTGAGGCTGATTTCTGTTCCGTAGGAAATGTCACTACCCTTATTTCGTATTGCACCCAACCAGCCATGAGGGTAAAAACACCTGTATTCTGAACCATTCCTGAACTGAGCTGTCTTAGGAGTGAAAGCCTCTGTATCTCATACTGACCAAAATCCTGGTTGTATGCAGAAAGGGACAGGGGAGAGGAGAGGAGGAGAGACATAGATGGTGTTTCAAGTGTCAGAAGAAGAGATGAAGACCCTCAAATGAAAAGGTAATCTTAGGTGGCTTTCAGTGTATTTCGAAGCAGAGGTAACAGGATAAGATAAAAGACCTCTACAGTACAAAGGATCATTTTTATTTTCTTGAGTTCAAAAAACCTGGCTAAGAAGGTAGACGGTCAATAACATTTTATCTGTCCACTGTGGTCTGAGTTTTTTGCTTCCCCCCCCAATTCATATGCTAATATTTTAACCTCTCAGGTAGGTGGGGTTAGGAGATAGAGCCTTTGGGAGGTGCCTGGGTCCCGAATGGGCAGACCCGCATAGAATGAGTCCTCAGGAACAGGATTAGTACGCTTATAAAAGAGCTCTTTCACTCCTTCTGACATTTGAGGACACACCACAGAGTGAGCCATATGGCTATGTACCAGGAAGTCCTTACCAGACACGTAATCTGGTGCCATAATCTTGGACTTCCTGACTCCTGAACTGTGAGAAATGAGTGTTTATTGTTTATAAACTACCTTATATGCTATTCTTGTTATAGCAACCATGAGGAACTAAGACAAGGTAGGTGTCTTTTTTAAAAGAACATTTACATCTTGGAAAAAGGGTAGGAAAATTGTTATCTTCTTTACTGAAAGGATAGGTAAGTAAAGAATTAGATCTAACTCTAAGGACAAAAGTCTATTGGCTACCGGTATTACAGTATTTAAACAGGCTACCAAGACAAAAGAGAAACAGCAAATCTTCTGGATGATATATGTGAAAATGTTTTTTAAAACAGTGATAACATACTCAGTTTAAATTTTTTCTTATTTTTTGGTCTTCCTAACATTGCTTCTTCAACACTGTTCACTAAAGAAGCCTAATGGGAAATTTCTTCAAGGGAAAGAGGCTAGGCAACTATTTTAAAAGAGAACTTTTTATTCTTTGGGACCTTGAGAAGTTTGTGTTTTTTTCCCCAATACCAATATTTGCAATTCCTTAAAGATAGTTGCCCTGATAAAGTGAACTTCCTTCACCTCTATTTTTTTCTCCACTTTCATTTCTGTGAGCAAATGCAGTTCCGTGATTATGAGGTTCCACACCCAGAGAAGTTCTAAATCCAATGATCTCTGAGTAGTTCCTTTACTTGGTTTTCCAGATGTCCTTTTTGGCCTGTTCCTATTGATTGCAAAACCTATAGATATACCACAGGACCAAATTAGAGATCCTTCCCATTTCTGACTGCCCATTACAGATGGCATAGGCCATGTACCCATATAAGAAAGCCTGAAATCATACAAAGGAAAGACTAATCATCTTCAAAAAGAAGGTCATGTGTTAATTTCTTTCTTCCTTTCCTTTTTTTTTAAAATTCTTTATAAAGATGTTCAGCTCTTAGTGGTCAAAGGTATTTTGTCAGAATTACTCTCCCACACAGTGCTGAAATAACCATTTCTGTTTACTTATTGTAGGGCACAGCCAGATTAAACCACAGAGACATTAAGATGATAATGTCTTAATAATATTGAAATAATATTTATCAAAATAATAAATAAATGAATTTTCTTTTTGCTGCTTATTGCCAATCAAGAGTTCAAGTTGGGTGCATGTGATGCTTATAGTCATTTACTGGGGACACAAAATAATGAAAGTATGAAGAAGGGAAAATCAAAGATGGGCAATCCCCAAATTTCTCACTAATATATTTTTCAAAATGTAGTTCCTGAACCACCTACCAGAATCAGAATTCCCTAGGATATGTCATATGTACAGATAACTGGTCACAACTCCACACCTGACAGATCATAGTCTGGAGTCAGACTAACATTTCCATTTTAAACAAGTTCTACAGATGATTGATTTGTACATTAAACCCTTAGAGCCACTGCACTCAACTGGTAAATTATATAGGGGTGAAGAACTTATAGAAATCAAGGAAAGACTTATTTCTCAAAATCTTCCACTAGACCAACATTGTCCAGTAGAAGTTTCTGCAAACATTCTTTATCTGCACTGTCCAATATTGTATTAATCAGAAACATGCCTGCTGAGTACTTGAAATGTGGCTAGTAAGACTGAGGGACTGAACTTTTACTTTTATTTCATTTTAATTACTTTAAATAGCCACTTGTGGCTAGTGCCTGAAGTATAGTTATCACAGACTTCAATATACCAACAGGACATACTATCTTTAGCTCACTCAGATTTTCTTTTTGTTTTCTTTCCTCTGAGAGATTCAGTACTCACTCAATCATACCTGAATTGCCCCTTCTTCTACTCCGGCAAATCCCCATGTTAGCCAACAGGGGCTTTGGTGTATCCTCAGGAATTTAATTGCTCCTGAGATCTTATCACATGAAACACAGCACAGCTTCAAATTCTACAAAGAGAATCTTTTTGTGGATAGGAATATAGCAACATAACACCCTGAACACTGGTGCTTTATGTAGTCAACTCCTGTGCTAGAAAAAATATGCTGGAACAACCAAAAGCCAAAATAGAAAAACACCAAAAAAGCATTCCACGCCCTTTCCACAGAGGTCTGTCAAATGGAAAGGGCACTCTGGAAATTCTTTCTTCCAATTTCATTTTCTGATCTATAAATCTGCTGATCACACACATCCTTTCCTGCCCAGCCCTTTTCCCATTACAAATCTGTTGTGGTGACTCACTAACCTGCCATATGGTGTAGTAAATCCATTCAGGAAAACACAAGGCTACTTTGCACCTCAGCACACTGATTTAAGCTAGGCAGAGTAGCTTCTCTAGAGGAAAAACGTATCTGATCATGAAATGGAAATCGCCCAAAAGAGACACAAAGAAAAAAGCCACCTTAACCAGTACACAAACTACAAATAAGGAGAGCACAATCTGAAGTATATTCAGTTCAAGAAGGACAATGTGTTGAACTTACCTCTCATGCACATTCTGACCGCTTAAGAACAAGGCCTAACACCCACAGGCATAAAGAGGAATTCTATTTTACATTTTTTTGACATGTATAACTTTTCCTTCCTAATTCCCAAAGGTCATACGATCCTAACATTTTCACTTAAAACATACATCATCCAGTGTGACATGAACCCAGTATCCAAAAGAGATAAACATGTAGTGTAACTGGGAAGGAACATGATGTGCCTTAATAGTTCTCCATCACTCAGTAGATCAGCAACTTTAAGTAAATATTCTGCACACCCTGGATATATATGCATATGGGGAAAGTAAATCTAACAAAATATTAGCTTTTGCTATATTACCATAGTTTTATTTCTAAAATCTTAATCAGCTGGAGCTAAAAACCATAATCCAATATTTAAAAGCATTCCAGGATAGTTAATATCAGTAGATATTAAATTAAAAGAAGGTAATGAATTCTTCTCAATTTTTGACTTTTGTTCTGATGAGAAACTTCTGGATTTTTCACACCATTTTTTAAAAAGTCTCTGTATAAGACAACTGAACATTACAATCATCTTTCAAAAATCTATAGCTTGAAAGCATTATTTGCCTTTTAATTGGACGATTCCAATTATTCTCAAATAGGCAATTTCTTAGCTGATCTCAAATGCATAACTGCATCTCCAGAAATCACCAGAAATTGAGGAGAAAATCAACAAAAACAAAATAGAAAAAAAAACAAAAACAAAATCTACTTTGGGCAGATTTCCATTTCTTCTCTCTCTCATTGTATTGATTTCTTCTCAGTTCTTAACTAAAAACAGTGGAATAATCCTGCCTGGTCTTGGTGAGACCAAGTGGCATAAATTCCAGCTTCAGAGAGAAGAGACACTATGGTAACATGCTGACAGCCTTCATTTACATAAAAGAATACTAATTACGTGGTATCATCAACATCTGCGATTCTGCTCACTGCCATATGCGGCAGCGCAGGGTATTTTAACCCTTCAACTTACTAAGTGTACCCTAAATTCATTACCACAGGGCATGCAAAGACTGCTTGAAGAGACACAGTGAATACGTTTTTACAAATAATGTGTTAAAAATGAAATTTATTCTCAACTAACATTTTATGTCAAGAGATATGGGAAAATTAACATCAATATACAATTAAGTAAAACATTTTTTAAAAACAAGGTAGAAACCACATGTAGATATAGTTAACCCAAAAGGGAAGAATGCTGTATTTTAGAGTACTATGCAGAGCTTTAAAAGGCTAGATTGTAAGTACGATGAAACCAGCCTTTTGACTTTTTATATTATGGCTAAAATAAAAACCAAAAATAATAAATAAAAAATAATGAAAACAAAGTAGAGTCACAGACTGAGAAGGGTGAGGTTAGGGAAAGAAACTGTTCAGAAGTCCTTTGCTCAAGGCAGTGTCTGTGTGAGGAATGGCTGAATGGGTGTGGGGGTCCTCACGAGCCGCTGCACTTTCTTCTTCCCCTTCATTACCACTGTCCCTCTTGTGGGGGGTGGGGAATGGATGAGGGAAACCCTATAGATCAGAGGGTGGTCCAGAGACTCCTGGAGAGGCTGAGTTCTCTAAGAGGGGTCC